GCAGCCAGATGGAAGGGAGAGGATCCAGGACTTCCTAAATGCAGCCGCATCACCTCTCAACTCGCTGCAGTTTCAGAGACAGTGGAAGCTGCTCTTTACCTCAAAAGCACAAAGCAGAATTGGCAACTTCACATGTCTCAAGAGCTTCAAGATCCTTTGGTCTCGTGTCCCTTGGCACCCCGCAACTGTATGGGGGACAAATTTGTTACATGTTTCCAAGGCTACAGACATGGTGCCATCCTCACGGGCCTAGCTCATGTGAGGTACTTTGTGGATCAGGTACTTTGCTGGATCAGGTACTTTGTGGATCAGGTACTTTGCTGGGGGGATACAATGACCCAGGTGGTCTGAGTCCTCTGCCATTGGTTTGAACAGGGCACCCCCTGAAGTCTCCATCTCGGCTGTATAGTCTAGTCCAAATTTGCCTGGCTCCCCCGCTCCCTCCCAGGTCCTGCACACTGTCTTTTTGCCAACACCTCAGCCCTGTGTGCTATTTCATGTCTGCATGGTACGAGACACCGCTTCACGGCATATACTGCCACGGTATGTACATATGCATCCACGTGTATGTGTAGCATGTAGCTCATTCTGCTCAGCCTCTGGTGCCGTTCCACATTGCTCCCAGCCCCACTGCTATCACTGTCGTCCCAGATGTCCTTGCCATGGCCACAGACAATCTGCCGTCTCCTGGAAACGCCGGGGCTGCCCTTCAGAGAGCTGGCAGCCACTGGCAGTCAGGGCCTGCTTTGCAGAATAGAATGTGAACCCATCTCCTGATGGCCTACTTGACTTATTTAATTAAAGATGAAAACATGCAATGAGCAAAACCTGCAGCGTGTCTCTGCCTTTTCCTTTGCATTTGTTCTCAGCAGCAATTGGGTCACAATTTTTTTTTTTTTAATTGATGGAAGGGAGGTGACTTCCAGCATGAAGCAGGACAGAGAATCCATTCCCTGCCCATTCCCAAAGGATCAAAGGCACCAGGGGAATATGGGCAGGATGAACGTTCCTTGCGTTACCAGGCTGGCAGAGCTGGTGGGGACTGCGCTGGGGGGAGAGAGAGAAAACCCAGGTATTTGGGGGCAGAGACAGGTGCATTGGGCCAGCGGTCAGGGGGCCTGGGGATGAGTCCCAGCTTTGCCACTGTCTGGCTGTGTGACCTTGGATGAGTCACTGCCTTTACTTGGACACCAGTTTCCTTTTAGAATGAAAGTATAATCAGTTGTTCACATTGTTCCCAAAAAGCCCCATTAGGGATTCAAAAGTCAGCTGAAAGGGCAGGCGGCACGCGCTCCACGAGAGCCACGGTGCGTTTTGATCTGCTTTACATGTTCAGATAGCATTTCAGATTTATTTGGCCTTCAACTAAATCTCCAAAAACACATGAGAAGATTGCCAAGGACCCTTTCAGCTAAGAAATTGAATGGAGTCCTTTTAAATTGCAGTTACATCTGTCATAACAACTTCAGTTCTTACTGTATTTCAGCCCTGCTTGTCTCCCAAGAGCTGCCTACAGAGCATGGGTGTTCCCCAGGGAGAAGGGAGAGAGCTCGGTTTGGAACACGGAAGCCAGAGCTGGTGGGGCTTTGTGGGTCTCAGGACACGGGTAGCAGGACCAGCAGCTGCAGGAGGAGGCAGAGGAGGGCTGAGCATGGGAACAGTGGCTCCTGGAGTGAGGGAGTGAAGACTCAGAAAGGCTCAATGTGAGGGAACAGGCCCCCTCCCCAAATCTTAACCTGTGTCTCTGCCAGTTCACCCAGTCCAGGCCTGGGAGGCTCAAGCCAGCTCCCTCCTGCCCATTAAAGTATTTGAGCTGGTACCTGTCATCCCGACCTGAACAGAAGCTGTCCATCCCAGTCAGGTGCTATTGCTGTCTCCCCTACTCTGGGGACTAGATATAGTTAGTTTAATTTCTGGGCTGTGTTTCCTACCACAAATGACCCCCTGGGGAAACAAATTGCACTAATCACAGAGCAGAGAAGCCTGGACACCTCCCCACCTGCCCACCCCTCAGCCACGAGGCCGGAACCATCTCTCCTCCTCCCCCTTTCCCCCACCCCCAGACCCCTTCGGGATCCTCAGTCTTCCTTCCTACACCCCAATTTACTCAACCCTGGGAGGGAACCAAGTGCCCGGTGCGCTCTCTGGGACAGGGAGAGTCGGCTGGGACTCTCTGGAAAGCAGTTTGATCAGCAGGGGACGGGGGCCAAGGACCTGTGCCATTGCCCACAGAGCCCTGCCAGGCCCAGCACTGGCCCAGCCCTGGAGCCTGCAGCAGCGTCCCCAAGTGTGTTTGGAGAAACTGTGGTCACAGGGCTGCTCTTGGGAAGTTACGGTGCACACTTGCCATTACAGGCTCCACGCAGGCCGCTCTCCTGACTCACCCAGCGTTAAAGATTACCTCCTAGAAGGAACCATTTTTACGGAATTCCTTTATCATGAAAAGCTTTTTTTTTTTTTCCCCAAACAACAGTGTTTTTCAAGATTCTGGCCTTCTTTATTTTTTAAGACTCTGTCACCCAGGTGGGAGTGCAGTGACACAGTCACAGCTCACTGCAGCCTAGACCTCCCAGGCTCTAGCAATCCTCCTGCCTCAGCCTCCCAAGTAGCTGGGACCACAGGCATGTGCCACACCTGCTAGCTTTTTTGTATTTTTTGTAGAGATGGGATCTCACCACATTGCCCAGGCTGATCTTGAACTCCTGAGCTCAAGCAATCTGCCGGCCTCAGCCTCCCAAAGTGCTGGGATTATAAGCGTGAGACACTACACCCAGCCAAGACTCCGTCATTCTGCAGATAGTAGCTATCAGCAGCCTG